GACTGCATGAACTGGAGGACTTGACAAAACTGTGTGCAGGTCTCCTGTTGGACGGCTCTTGTCAAAAGTCTCTCTTAAGATATGTGCACCAACATCCACCTGAAGCCTGCATAAGCGGGCGTAATTGGTTGTCTCTTTTGTTGAACGAAACGATGGGGCCACTGCTGAGGCCATTTTTCCTGAAATACAAAACATTCACCCCACGTCAAAAACACAAAGAAACGTATACTGCTTGAAACTGAAGAAACTGAAAAAAGTAAAGAAGAAATGTTTGGAACCGATATGAAGTTATCTGGGCTAAAATTCACTTCGCTCCAGATATTGAGTGGATAACGCTATCCATCCTTCCAACACCATTTTTAACATCTGTAAATTATGCGGGTTTTTTCTTTTTTCCACATTTCCTATAAAACCTTTGGTTTTGGACATTCTACCACCTAGTTCACCAAGCTTGAAAAGAATTAGGGTGGACGTATTTAAACCACAAACAGTCAATTTGTCCGATACCAGTAAAGTCGGCATGTATTGAAACAGAAACGATAGACGGTAGACGACAGACGACAGACGACAGACGATAGACGATGGACGTTAGACGGTAGAAGATGAATTGTGTGACAGAGCATGACCCCGAAATTTAAAATTGTCACGCAATCTGAGAGGCTACAGCTTCTTGATCCCTGACAGAAATACAATCACTGTTCAAAGCAACTTTTTACCAAAAGTAAACAGTTTCCATGGAAACCAGAAAATACATATACTTTTTGGTTTACTTTGTCAATGAACAAGTTCTTTAAAGATTTGGTGTTCACCTTCAAATTTCTCTGGCTGCACAGTCTCTATATTCTGCTCCCATCTCTTAAGCTCTTCTTGTTTTTTCCAACCTCCAGTGGTGGACTTTATAAAGTGGGGCTGAGAGGCTACAGCTTCTTCTTCTGGATTAGTGGTGGAAAATGAAGAGGAAGGAACGGCTACAAACAGAGATATTGAGCATTCATGCCTTGCCATAAATTTGACATTAACAACAAGGATGCTATCATGACACCTTTGACACCTACGCATTTATTGTGTCTGGAGGGCTTATCTCCCACGAAGGAACAGGAATCGTTAACTTCATCTAATATGAAAATTTGTTTTGTCATACTTTGTATCAATTAAATATCATAGCACTGCAATGATTCTTCAAACGTTCATGACATAAGTAGTTATGACTGCGACAAGTAGTTCTATTTAAACTGGAGCCTTCGGTTCATGATTTCTCTCTGCTAACCTGAGAACTCCACCAACTGCCTCTACGTAATCACAAATAGTACGTTGAGCTACCAAAGAGTGCTCTAGCAAGTTCTCTACTTCAATTTCTTTGTTGACAGAAAATCCCCGCCCTACAGATGCCTGGCCATGTGACAGCACTAGCAAAATTTTTAATAGGTCAAAGAATGCAACCTAGTTCTCACCAGTTATATGGGTGGAAAAAATTCATCAACCCGAAGAACGGGTAAAGGTAAAGAATCCTATCCCACCGACGCGTCTTCTTTGAAAAACTTTCACTCTCGATATTAAAATGAATAATTTCCTTTTGGCTGCCATCTTGTTTGTCGTGTTATTGGAACCCAATTACTTATCCTTCCTGAGCATTAAATGAACATTTCCCATATTTTTCCGTAAAAACACTTTAATATTCTAAACCGACACCCGTCGTCGAGTTTTTTAAATTTTTATTACCTAAAACACTGAAATTTTATTACGTTGGACATTGACTTTTTCAAACTTGGTGGCTCCTAAAGGAGCCGTTTTTTTTGGTGACTAGGAGAAGACCTAGGTCCTAGTATTTCGTTCTCAAAATGGCGGGGATTTAGATTTCTCTTCGAGGGGGGTATTGGGGCCTATTAGAAACCGCAAAACCGTGGAAAACATCATCCAAAACCGAAAACCGAAAAAAATTCGATCAAAACCGAAAACCGCATGCAAAACTGTCAAAACCGTTACATTTTCACATCCCAGTTATTAAAACCCTGATCGATCCGATACAGGGGTGACAAGTGTAAACTACACTAATTTCATTACAGGATTTATGAATGCCATTGACTTCGCGTCGGTAGGATCGGATTCGTTACCTTTACCCAATGAGCACCATATTCAAATTACATTAATTGAAAAAAAAAAGTTCAAATTGAGTATCATTGTTCATAACAGCTTTCCATAATAACTTAACACTTTAACTCCCAAGATCTCATTAGTAATTATCCTTGTTGTCTGCCATACCGATCTTGTAATGTTAGTTTGGAGAATTTGGTATTGGATCAACTTATAATCCCCTAACTGACATTTTTCTTTATTCTCATCACTTGTCTGTTTGATGTTGTATTGATATTGTAAGGAGAAATTCTGTCTTGGTCACTCATGGGAGTTGAAGGGCTAATACAAGTTTTTAATTTCCTTTTCACCTTCCAATTTCCTTGTCTTTATAATCTTTGTCTTCTGTTCACTTTTTTCCCATTGTTCTTTTTTTTGTGGACTTTCACTGGTTGAACTTGTGGAGTGGAATTCAGAGGATAAAGCACCTAAAATAAGATTTACAAGAAGACAAACATTTCAAACCAGAGACATAGCTAAAAGTTTTGTTTACAAACACCCAGCAAGCAAAAACTAGCAAAATTTTCTTTTATAGCCCCAACAACAAAAGTCTTGCAAGAATCTGTTCAGAAGTTTAAATGGAATTTTTTTCAGTTAACCCTTTTTATGACTGAATGTTGAAATTTGTCAATTTTTATGCCTAACGGCTATTTTTTTTTTGATGTTTGACAGTTAATGTTTAACCTTCTACATGACTTTTGTATGAAAGTTAATTACTGACTTGCATCTTTCCTAAATGTACTTTTAATGCAGATATATATATATATATATATTTATATCTGAAGGTAGAACTAATCAATAAGACAACTTTTCTGTGACTCTGAGTTTCACGCTTCACAATCATCAGACAGATTTATATATATTTTTAATATTGACTAGAATCCTTAGATTCAGGGTCTCTTTTCACTCACCCTTCTTTTCCTGAAATTTCACAGTGCTGTGTCTTACTACCAGTTTTCTTTTGTGACTAGAAGGGGACAGTAAGGTAGAGGATGAAGTACCTAAGAGGAAAAGTACAAAGAGCAATTCATGGTGTTACTTTTAATAGTGACATGAAAACAGGTCAAACCAACATGCGATTAACTGACATACCGTGTCACTACATCACTGTTGGTTGTTTGAATCATAATTTAAGATCAACATTGAAAACACCTAGTTTATTGAAAACACCTAGTTTATTGAAAACACCTAGTTTATCATTATATACAGTTATATATACAGTTTCACCAACCCCAGCCTCTACCATCCCTTATAGCAAAACACAGAGTGAGGGAAAACTAAATTGGGTATAATTGCCTTAAAAAAAACATTTTTTAATGAGAACTAAATGTATTTAAAAGTATTCTTAGATTAGTTTTTCCATGAAGTTTAATTTAAATTAACAGCACTATTTATTCACCTTCCACTCTTTGGAGTTTCGTACGTGGCTCTCCTAGTTCTTCTTCAGGATCAAAGGTGGAAGATCCAGGAAGAGGCAACATGCCTAAAAATAAAGTTATACAGAGAGATATTAGCATTTCTACTGATAAATAGTTAGAAACAAACATACCAACTTGTAGCTAAAGATAGATTTAAAAAAGGTGCTTAAAATATCTATTTGACATACACATAATATGTGTATATATATATATATATATATATATATATATATATATATATATATATATATCTAGTGTATATTGTCTTAACCCTTTACATCCTAACATCAGTCTGCATATTATCCACACTGCTCTTTATACATTTCCTAAGGTGCTGACAAGGAGAATTTGTTTGCCAATCAAAAGTTTCCTTCTCTTTTGACCATGCCCTTTATTCTCATCACCATCATGAGCAATTCAGGAGTGATATTGTAGGGAGAAATTAGATGCTGGTCACTCTTAGGGTTTAAAGGGTTTATTCCACAAACCAACTCAAATTCCTTTCACATAAGTAGAGAATCAGGCACAATCATATCTGGAATAATTTTCATTATTTTACATTAATTACAGCAATATATGTATTCATGGTGTTACTTTTATTTGAGAAATAATAATTAACACAGCAAACCAACATGTGACCATCTGTATTAAAGTGCATGAAATTTATCCAAAATACATCACCAATGTCAGTTTTTCAATACATAATTTATGATTAATGTTGGGAAAAAAACCTTCTTTATACTATTATTAAACTATTATTATGATTATGATTATGATTATCATTATTATAATTACCATTTTATAATCATTAACACTGTTTAACCATCCCCAGCCACTGCCATGCATCTTAACATTCCCTAAGGGAAAACTAAATTGGGTTTTAATTTCTTTCAAATGAATCTTTTTAATGAAGAACTGAAAGTATTTCAAATAATTGTCAGTTTAGTTTTACCCTACAGACCCTAGAAACCTAAAATGTTTAATCCTGAAAGCACACTTCTTTACACTTGACATAATAGCTGAACACACTGAACATATTCAC